CCAACCATTGAAAAAACCGCTGCGTCTTCAAGTTTTTCCGCTAATAGTGACAAAATGTGTCACTCATCGCATTCGTAAATGGTCGCACGGTGAATCGAGTCAATCTGAGAAGTCGGACAAGGAATTTTTGACTAAAACTGAAAATGTTCGTGTTTATTTCGTCACATTTTAGATTATATGGGGTGCCTGTGTAAGAAAATTTCACGAGGAAATCAATGGAGCCACTTTTAGAATCTTAATAATGTTGTGTATAAACAACATCAGGGAACCTTTGCTGGAAATGCAACTTCTGTTTGGTACCTTCATGGTATAACTTTATCTTGAGTTTCCTCTCCCCACCTTTTTTCATCGTATATTTTCCAATTGAAAACCATTAATTTTATCCTCCTCTTTTTACTTGAAAATACTTCATATTGAAAAATCGAAGGAATCTTTCGGAATGTACTACCTATTTCTGAAAAAAGTCACTGCTCAGCTCTTCCAAATTTTTCTTGTGCAGTTTTATTGTTAGGCAAAATGTTTCTACGGATCTGGGTGTTTCCATAGAAATTTTACAGCCACCTAGTGCGACACACACCAAGAAAAAAAAGAAGAAAAAACCATTAACTAGATAAGCCCCCCCCCTTTTTTTGAAACAGCATTGAGAGGTAACATTGCTGTGAGTATATAAACAGGCCCTATAACTTTATTTTTCTACGTATGCAGTTCAGTTTCAGTTGAGCACGAATATTTGTATTAAGCGTTGTGATCTGTTTGCTGGTGACGAAGCTAGGCCCTCAGCGCGATGCACCGCGAGCTGCTACTCAAACGCGAGCGAAATGAAAGGGGTATTGCATCTTCAATGCTTGAAGGCGTTTCGTTACGTTCCTTCTACACATCCGCACGTTGCGAGTGATCCTCGTTCCTCTTCTTTGGTTCCCAAGGGCGGATCCAGCCATTTGGCAACACCGGATTCCCTCCATTTGAACATACAGGGCCAAATTTACCAACTTGCCGCCCATGGGCCGCCTGTATTTTGCCGCCTCCTTCTCATTCGTTTTGAAACATCAATAAAAACCATGAAGTGAACGTGCCGTAGGGAGAGGGGGAGGGGTGCATAGGACGCTTTCACTCGTATTGGACACATTTTTTGCGAAAGCCTTGTCAACACTACTAGCAAAAGTTCATGGAACTTGGGGCGAAAGTCAAGTTTCGTAAACCTATTTCTGTGTGGACAAGGCCTTCCTTTCATAAGAGATGAACGAAAAAATTATGAAAGAGCAAACATAAATGTACGTGGTTTCATAATATTAACTTCTACTGCCGCGCGCCGCGCCGCAATGGCCGTACTGTGTTTGGGGCAATGCGTGAGGTATTCATGCAGTCTCGTCGGCGCTATGCGTTTCACGCCAACCGCTGCTGGCCGCACTGTGTTTGACGCAATGCTTGAAGTATTCCTGCAGTCTTGTAGGCGCTGATATGTGTTACAAGCCGACCATTGCGTCGAGGGCTTCTCCTTTTTATCTCAAGTCCTCGTCATTATTGCTCTCTGCGCCACGCCGTTCCAGGCCAAATTGCGTGTTTAGTTTCTCTCTTAACTTGAATAATTAAAGGTGCTGTCTCTTGTATCACTTTTAAAAAAACTCAAATTCAATTTAAGAATTACTATTGAGTGAATTTTTGCGACTCAGTCATTACTAATCGCCAGCGGATAAAGGTTGAAAGGGACTAATTAGCCCGGGACTTTTTGGAGTGTATGTAAAAGCTGTTTGGATTGAATTTCACCTCTTTTTGAATTACGGAATGACTTTTTTTTCTTTCTTTCTTTTTTTTTTAACAATTGAAATTTCATTATATAAACGTTCACGGTACAAAAGAAAATAAGAATTTATTATGAATTCACGTAAATTTAAATGTGTATTATATGGCCTAACACGGTACCATGTCGTCGCTAACACGGCGTCAACATGTTCTCGACACAGAACGATGTTGAGATCTGCAGTATGGTGAGGTTGTTGTTCCCGTAAAGGTAACATATACTTACCGATCTCAACATGGTACTGCATTTAACATTGCACTGTGCTGGCATCAGCTCATGATACTGTGCCTCACTCACTAACGTGGCACGAAGTTGGACCAAATCAATATGGTACCAAAAATGGTCATTGGTAAGGCTGGGAGGTCACTGGGTGAGGCTGCAATGAAATGGGGTACTCGTCCACTGAAACTTCTGTCTCAAAATCTCAATTAACGTCGTAGGAAATGCACCAAAAAGACAACATTCTGGGAGGACACAATCTTTGTAGAATTTTCCAATAACATCAATTGGACCACATTTTGCAATTTGGACCTATAGATTCTAGCCCGGTTTAAAAACAACGTATGTGCCATTAGTTTTCCTATGCACATAAGTGTTTTTCCAGAAGAGCCAAAATTTATAGTTCCAAATTGCAAAATGCAGTCCAATTTTGTGCTTAGTAGGTATTAGAGACGTGACAAAGTTTGTGCTTCATTTTCTCTTGATAAATACGTCTGAAATCACTGAATTCATCACAACTAATTGCTAATTGGAAGTATTTCTATCAAACGGGACTACTATATGTGCATTATGACGTGAGCCCTGTTATGCACATATTCTTATGGATCGCAGGGCTCATGTCTTAATACACATAGTTCCTTTGATAGACATACGTCCAATTCACGCACACTTCCGATTTATACTCACCTGTTAATTCACCTTAACATTGCACCATTCACCATGCGCGGGCTTCTGATGGAAGGCCACTCCCCAGTCTACGAACTTGATATTTTTCTCAATGATTTGAAGCTACTCCCTGAAATAGTGATATCACGGCGCGCACTTTTGAAACTTAAAACGGAAGTGATGTTACGTAAAGAGCGTAACGCTGGCCTCGGGAGTTGCGTTGTGGTTTCCGACTCCTTGGCGGTAAAGTTTGGGTCATGGGAAATATGTTTAGCGCAGCATCAATGGACACCGGATACTGAGAATAGTGGTCCGCATTCGCAAAAATTGACTTTAAAAAAAGAGGAGTGCATACGACTACGAGCCGGAGTGGATGACCTCTAACCAGTGGCGCGGCGTGCTTTGCGATCTATCGATTCATCTGCCCTTTAAATCTACGGAAAAGGATCGATAAACAGGGTGTTTGCGTAGGACACCTTGATAATCGACTCTTTTCCACAGCTTCAAATGGGGAAATATCGATAATCGATTATTGACGCCTCGCCACTACCTCTAACAGGACTGAAATACGCTACTTCCACTCGAGGGAACCGTGAAAAAGAGGCCAAAAAAGAGGGGTTCCTTATTAACTGAGAGGGGTGAATTCACTATAGGTACGAGTTTATTCAACTCCAAATAATTTGAACGACACGCTATTTTAATAAAGCCTCATTCCAAATCGCAATTCATGGGGCATATACTTTTACCAGAAGTATTGATATCAGCACCCAGATTTTAATCAATGTCCATCTACGAGAAACTTAATGATTTTCTACCAAGCAAATAATAAAATTTGAAGACTTTAAAGGTTTGCTAAATAAAACTTTCATATGTGCCGACTATGGAAGAAGAGAACTTTAGGGCGCCCATAAAAACTCAAAACTGAGATGTTGATATTGCTGAGTTCCAAGCTGGCGTCTTGGTAATGCTAACAGAAATATTTTATGACCATTTGTGCATAAAAAGTGTACAATAATTTCAAACTTTGCTAGAGTTATGAATAGGTTGGACTGCTTCTGCTTTTAAGAGGGGCACGCATCACGCCTCTCCGAGAGGATGATTGTGGCTCTTTTTGTTGGAATAGAAGAGCAACAAGGTTCAAAATAGGACCTGGGAGGCTTGAGCTTTCTTCAAAAACCAAGAGATACAATTGCGGAGCTTTTCTGGCCGAAGAATAGGGGACGATCGCCCCCACCAGAGGAGGGATCTGGTGGTGATCGGAGGGGGCGATCGCCCCCCCCCCNCCCCCCCCCCCCCTGGACCAATCACTCCTAATTATGACATTTTGCGGTTTCCCATAAAAAGGCGCAGTTTTGGGAAACGGCTTGCAACTCATTTCTCTAGATATTGCTAAGAGGGGTTTTTTCTTTTTACCTTCAATTGTGATTTTTTATGAAACTCCAAATAGTTTACCCTGCATGGCAGGTACCTCTGTCTGTGACCAAATTTCTGATGTATCCAAGGTATAATTATATCAAACTTGACCTAATGTATCCACTTATTTATTGTACTTGGACGTGTTTTTGCCAAAAGGGACTAAGCTCGCCAAGTCGAACTGTGTAGGAACTGACAAAAAATTCGAATTAAGCGGCAATTCGTCTTACCCGATTCTCCACTTAGCTTACGGACGTGTCTGGGGACCGAAAAAAAAATTCGACTTAATCGGCTTTTCGTCTTAACCATAGTTCGACTTAGCGAGCTTTTACTGTATATCGACGGTTTATGTCGGCAATCTCATAACTCGGTTCCTTTCATACTTTATTTTTTAAATGGAAAACTACTCAACGGCAATTCTTTAAAACTGCCGTGATTTTTCTTCTCTGTGCCAAGAAAATTCTGCATAACTTCAAGGAATGAAGTCAATTTGTTCTCCTTTAAAAAAATAACATAGAGGCGGAGATTTTTAGACACCGCAAACGAGATATGTGGTTGCGGACTCACGCCGTCGATATGTGAAAATGCATGGACTCAAAATGGGCTTATGTGAAACGGGTTTGCGTGGTACATATATAGATAATTTGATTTCATACATTTGCACCTACTTACTTTCTTTTGGTATAAATGCGTCAATTTTAGACATAATGGATGAAAAATTTGGTTTGAAAATTTTCTCAGTTGCAGGGCAAGTAACAGAGGAATTGAATTCTCGCGCGAGTCCCAGGTATGGTCAACTGTCTACTTCCATCGGGAAAAGGACGAGAGGTGGCAGAGAGGGTGGAGAGGGTGCAGGAGAGGAGGAGACAGCTAACTAGAAACGGGCTTAAAGTTCCAGCGACCGTTGAGCAAAGACCGGCGGAGCTGCGTAGTGGAGAGTTGGGTCGACCACGGTGGATATTAGTGAGATTGGGTGTCCGATGGCTTTAGAGGAAGGAGATGGCTCGTGCCCTTTTAGGTACACAATTTTCACCATCAGCACATTACTCTGCTATTGCACCTCGAGTCCCTTACCTGTCTCGTAACCAATAATCTAGTATGGAATATCAGACATTTTAGTCCCACGGAATGAGTTATTCGTCAATTAATTTTTTACTACGCACAGTGGATCGAGTCGATGGGGGAGGTCGGACATGATTTAACAACTTCATGCCCGAATATTTTCATTAGTATGAATTGTTGATGTTTTGAAAGTAGTTTCATTGGTTTTCTCGTGAAATTTTCTGAATAAACCACTCCTTAAACTTAAAATTGTGACAAGATTAACGTAAAATTTTACAACTTTTGTCAAAAAATTTCATACCCGACTTCTTCCAAAGACTGGTTCCGCTGTGCGACGATCAGCAACCAAGCTATTTACGCCGAAGACTAAGAATTTACCTGGAATTTTTAAATTTACTTGCTGGAATTTTTAAATTTACTTGCTGGAATTTCAAAAGTTCAGTAATTACTTTTGGATCATCAGAGCTTTAAGGCTGGATGTTTGAAGGGGGATGATTTTAATTTTTATACTTGTAGCATGGGTTTCTGGGCAAGATAGAAAAATATGGTCGATAAAAAGGGAAGAACGTTGACATTAAGGGAACAAGGAACTGGATATTTTTAAATTAAATGAGGACGAGAGAAATACCTAAGTATGGTCGATTCGTAATCGTTCGTTTTATAGTTTTCTGATATCGTCCTTTGAGGAATAAATCAAAATACATATAAATAGGCCAGAATGAATTATACTCACAGACAAGTTAGAAGTTAGCAGTCTATTTCTGAAAGAATGAAAACTAATAAAATTTGTAGTAGACTCAATTAAAATAAATGAGGATTTGATCCCACGGAATAGTGATCGAATGAAATTAAGGGGTGAAACTAAAAAATTGACTTTTTGAGTAGATACTTTATAAAACATAAATTCATTAAACGTATCTATAAACAGTGACCATAATAAAGTGTATGAGACATAGTTGTAAATGATTTCCCCCTCTATAACGCCACTGCACAGCTGTCATAAATTCTTTAAACTGTAACTTTATTTCAAGATAATTAGGAAACATAAAACTACATACAACAGCCAATGATCGAGAGTTTGTAGGAGTTGTAACTATAAGAGAATTGAAAATTTTGAAAATCAAATAAAAATACAAAAATATGTTTAAACCAATTGAGGGGCTCGGAGGACAAGGCACATAAGTGCAGTGTTTGAAAACAATTGAGATATTGATGATTTCAAGTAAAACTAGTCTTGAGACATATTCTGCGAAAAATTCGCTCCCAAATTCCATTTTTAAAGCATCAAAAAGTCAATTTGAACTATCTTTCCACCATGAGGATCCTCAATTTTGAAACTTCAAACACATTTTTCTCGAAATAGCAAAAACTGCACTTATATGCTCCTTGTCCTTCAAGACCCTTATTATGAAACGTGGAGGTATAAAATTGAAAATTAGAGAGAAAACACTGTGATCACATTAGCAGGGGTAAAGCGATGAAACTATCTAAAAAAATTAGGGGGAAAATCCATGTAAAATGAACCAACGTCTTCTGTCAATTTTTAACAATCGGTGCAAACGCAGTAGGTCCAAACTTGGCCACAATAACGTTGTGATGTTCAACAAATGACTCAATATGCAGTGTCCATCAATAATTTCTTGAATAGGGAAAACAAGGAAAGTAACAATATCATCAATTTCCTCGTAATTGTAGTCAGAGCATAAGGAAACTTAATCACGTTTGATTCAGAATGGACGTAGCTTGTTATGGACGTAGACAGTAGTAACATCTTCTTAACTTCGTGAAGTTCATCAGACCTGCCCTGCATCGACAATTGACCAGTTCTTCATCTTTAGGACCCCTTGAACCGTTGTTTTTTGTGAAGGGAAAACTAAACATTTTTTATAAAAATTATGTAAAATCTCAATATTTGAACCCAATCACAGTCTTTCAGAACTTTCACCCTAGAATATACCCTATTTCTCTTCAATATTTCCCTTTTCCTCACCCAGGCCTGCCTGAAATCATCGTCCATCCAAGTATCTTTTTACACTAAGTCTCGAGTGGCTATCGATAAGATGGGATTTTTTTTTAAATTTTTCCCCTGATTTTTCGAACACAATCATGTGTTTTTTTGTAGGCACATGAGTACCTATAAAACCACTGGTTAGGTATTCCCCCAGAGTGGTGAGAAATTCTTGCGATTCCTGTCTCCGCCTTTCTAATTTAAAGTGTTTAGGACAATAATCCATGTAGAGTGTACTAAAACTTCGTAACAACAAGTTGAAAAACGCTGACTCCGAGTGATTAAATAATCGCGCCGATCACTGTGCGGCCTGTGCAAAACGCATTTTAGCGCTTACAAACCTAAAGAAATACTACAAGCATTGTACCTGACGCGCAATACTTGAAGTATTCCTTAGGTTTGTGGGCGCAAATATGCGTTCCGCGTCGACCGCTCTGTATTGGAAAACTAAGTTAGATTGCAACAATTGAATCTCGATAATTACACGAATGGGTTATGTAAAATAACGCCATGTTTGATGAGACTCGGGCTTGCAATTCAACTTTCCGTCGCGATTGAGGTTTTTGCTATCTCGAGAAATAAGTCTTTGAAATTTCGAAATTCCGTGGATCCTAATGGCGGAGAGAAAGTTCAAACTGACTTTTTGATGCTTGAAAATTGGAATTTGGGAGCAAATTTTTCACAGAATGTGCATTAAGACTAGTTTTACTTTAAATAATCAATATCTCATTTCTTCTCAAAAACTTCACTTATGCGTCTTCTCTTCCAAGCCCCTTAATTAACGTAACAAAAAAACCGCGCAGATCCTAGAAAATCGTCGAAAGAAGTTTACTTTGGCCATAGAATCATCCTTAGCAGTGACTCCTCAATCCAAATCGATTTGATACTCAGATAAAGCTACATAATACTTCAAAAGTCTGAAGTTCAGTGGCGAGGCGTGAATGATCGATTATCGATATTTCCCCATTTGAAGCTATGGTAAAGAATCGATATTAAGATGTTCATCGCAAACACCCTACATATCGATCCTTTTTCATAGGTTTAAATGGCAGATCAATCGATGTATCGCAAAGCACGCCACGCCACTGCTTAAATTATCTGAAAGCCTAGAGAATAGTAATAATGTACTTTCACCAAAAAAAAAAGAAAAAAAGACTGAATTTTCTCTTATGATCCAGTAAGAAATTACAACTTTGTTTCAGGAAAAATAATGGAGACAGCCCTTGCCGCAAGAAAGGCATGCTCTACACGGAGTACCTACGCCTAGATAGGCTTCTTTCAGCACAAAGGCCCCTTAGCGCAGAATACAACAAACCTGTCCATGACGAACACCTCTTTATTATCACCCATCAAGGTAAATCGTTACATTTTGAACTGTCGGAAGTAGAATTAGTTTTGATAAGTTATACATATAGACACGTAAGAGCGTGTGCACTTGACATGCAAGGAGGGGAGGTATAAGGAATGTTCCTCTCGTGTAAAATAAAGGTTTTACTTTTGGATTATTGGCTGTCATAAATTCACACTACTTATGCTCATAGAGTTTCTTTAAAAAAAATGTAAAAAGTTAAAAAAAAATACCTAAATAGATTTGATTTAATTTCAACACCTACAGGCTGACTTTGGTGACTTTTTTTTTACCACAGCTTTATGGAAAATAGAAAAAAAAACGAAGCACTAGATATGGCCTCTCATGCCTATAGGCAGTGAAGGAGGAAAAGCAACACCGCTATCCAATAGTATACATATAGAGCTCCCTTCTCTTGGTCAGGGAAAAGATATTATCAGCGATGACGTAACAGGCTCAGCAGAACGCGCATTCGTCGCATACAAGGGACGTCTCTCGCAAAATCACAAATATCAATAGCTGAAACTTGCGATCAGAAATAATGAAATCAAAGATAGAGTACAATTTATGATTCAGGAAAAAACTTCCATGGCTAGGTTTTCCAGCACAAATGCGCAGGGGTGTTTTTCCTGAGAAATCTCAGGGGAGGAGATAGACTTCCTTCGGAGTGAGCTAAATTCTCTTAGGGTCAATGAAAAATGGCGAGAAGTACATTCCTATTTGGCGAAACTGCCTCAAATAGGAAAAATTCCCGACACAAGGGGGAGCCGCTAATGCCAATCTGCTTCTATGCTACATTTCTGCTATTTTTGATTAGCCTATTTCCACTATGCGATCAAAGTTTGTGTAGTTCAAGTGTGGCACTTTTTACTATTTTACCTATTTGATTGTGTAAATTCTGATTTCAGCCTATGAATTATGGTTCAAACAAATCATTCACGAACTAGATTCAGTTCGGGGAATTTTTGGTCACAACATGGTAAGTTTTGCATCTCTCAGTTCCCGTGTCCTCTCACATCACAAAATATCAAAATTAAAAACACTACTACAAAATATAAACTAGGCAAATTGAATTGTGAATCAACTTTTTCATGACACTTACAAAAAATATTCGATAATTTCTCCAAAAATTCGTTCATATCATAAGAAATTCGGTTTGGTGACTTTCGACTAATCATGACACATTTACCACAACACAGCTGCACATCCGTAAGTTTCATTAAGTTCTTTTTAGTTGAAGATGATTTATTGGTCAGTCATGAGGATCGTCCATAAATTACGAGACGCAAAAACT